GAGGAGCCATTTCCTTGAGGTTTCGCTCCACGGGGCTATGGCACTGACCAAGTTTTTGTCAGTCCTAAATCATATTTGCCCAGAATACTTTCATATTTTTCACAGTAGAAGCAAATAAAGAAACTAACATCAAGGAGGCTTAAAGCAGTTAATTACACAGAAAGCTGTATGCGGAGCCCAACAGTACAGTCCTAAGAGTTATACTCTTCTATCTACATTGAAGTCTAACTCTCTTTAAGATTGTACTGTTCGGCTTCCTGGTATAATTGATCTTCCTGAGAAGAAATTGCACATATACCCTTTAATACAAGATGGGATGCCTAAGCTGCCTTAAGATGCTAGTTCTGCTACATCCCCTAGTACTTCATGTGGGTGTTAGAATTATTCATGGGATATTTTAAAAAGTTCATGTTTATCTTAGGAGTTATCTAAAATGACTGCAATTACAACAGTGGAACAGAGCCCTTCACTTCATGTAATTCCAGTCACAAGGTTATGTTTCATTAAGATGCACAAAGTGTTATGCATATAAATGCCTAGTGGTTGGTGACCTGGCAACCAGAGCAGTAGTTGATTAGTTTCATAATGGACGTCAAAGCTGCTCTGGCTCAATAGTGCAAGGCTATCCTGCCTAAGTGCATCAACAGTATCACATATTCTTCCTGTTTAAGTTGGTAACTAGATAACAAATCCTACCACTGACACTCATTATCGAACTAAACATAAGAGCATTGCAGCTCTCAGAACAGCTATGCCACTGTGATACATTCTAATTAACAGAATATATCGGCCCAATGTTATGGCACTACTGGACCCCATTACACAACTTAGGTCTTCCTGCCGTACTCAAAGGCTTCTATTTTTAAAATTTATATATAATATACTTGTCACCATCTCAACGGCCTACATACATCCTTTCCCCTGGTGCTTAGTCTCACCACGCAGCAAAAAGCACAGCTCTCTTTCCTGGTGGTGATCTTTTCGGAAGCTTCTGCCCATTTCGACTGCAGCCATTATGCTCCAGTATATGGGTTGGATCCAGGCAGTCTTTTCACTCAGTCTCGGCTCTGATCTATCCATACTCCCAGTCATAGCCTTTGAGAGGTCAAGGGGAACTCCTCCCTCCCTTTTTCATCGGTGGAAGAACTGGTTGGATCCAGCCCATTGGCTGGGATCCCGAGAACATATTCCACAGGCTATTTGCTCTGGCTGCAGCATAATTTCCTTCCTTTGCCGCTTCTCCTCATGCACAAACAATGGCTTTCCGTGAGCCCCTGAAAAAACTGAAGTGCTAGCAGCAGAGGAAGCAACAACTACAGCTGGACTGAAGTATGTGTGGAACACATTCTCTGGGTCCAAGTAATCCAAGTGCCCACCTTTCTTGGTTCCTTTACTGCTGGGGTCCATCCACAGTTTCTCCCTTCCAGAGTTTCATACTGCAGAGTGAAAGACTCCAAAATATCATAAAGGTCTTGTGCCTGAACAGGAGGTGATAGATCACCAAACAGAATGGCACTTGCACGGATGTCCATACCGTAGAATCTAGTTCAAAAATGGGGGGTGGGAAAGGTTAACCAAACACATAACTGATCAAGGAAAGCATCATCTCATTTCTGTATTTTTTCATAAGACTATACATTTGATGAATGATTTCTAACCAAGGAACATAACTACTCAGTATATATGAATTAATATTAGGATACCAGTTAGATCATGTGACTATTTATTTATTGCTTCTTTTTTTTAAAGAAACACACGTGAAATTCAGATTTATGTCATCTATTTGTTAAACACTCAACAGGCAGACAACAAACGCAGATACAGACTTCTTTGCATCCTCTTTTTTCCAGTACCTTTTATGACCCTGAGAAGTAGATGCTGGGGTTGGGGGGCTGCACTTGGGGAGAAAAGGAATGGGAAATCATCAGTGGATTCAAGTCCTTGGTTCTGCTGAAGTCCAACAGATTTAGATCATGGCAAATGGGCTGAACCCAGTGGAAAGTGTCTGCTAACAGAAGGGGAGGGATAATTTTTACTTCTCGCCCTCCATGGTGAACCTCCAACGCCTCCATTGTGGTGTTCCTTGGGGTCCCTGTGGCCACCAGACGCAGCATTTCTGGGGGCATTTTGGGGTGCAGCAAGAGAGAGAAGGTAAGTTCCACTCTGTTGACAGCAGACGTATTTGGCAGGATGCAACCCTCTATGTACCGGAAAAGGAGACACTTAGCACTAGGGTTAACTGCACCGTGTGACTATAACACTGAACAGGTTACTGGATAGACCTAAGAACCTTCTCCAACTACAGGCAGCATATTCCAGATCAAACTTTAAAATGAGAAGGACTTCTTTAACATATCCCCATCACAGGAATTAAAAGTTTAAACTAATACTTTGCTTACAACTTACTTTCTGTTCGTTTCCTTCCTTTCAATCAAACAGCTTCCTTCTAAAGACACGCCTGCAAATAACCCTCGAGATTTGCAGTAAGTATAGACTGCAGCAGAGCTTCTCAAGGCTACATCACCTTCTAGATTCCTGGGGGTAGGAGAATTGTGATCAGTTGTCAGTTACCTCTTGATCATTTGTATATGTCTAAATTGTGCTGCACATTCTTTTTAAACTACATATTTAAACAAATGTCTAGAACCGTTCTTCTTGCAGAAAGTCACTCCAGGTTCCAAGCAGAGTGAATTGGCAGTGGAGCTCACGTAAGCAGCTGTACCACTAACCCTCAGTTCAGAACCTATCAACACCACAGAGCTTGTTGATGTGTTTTCTGTTGCCTGGGCCACTTATTTCTTCCTCCAAACGAAGGACCAACTCTGATTTTCCTCCACCTCACTGAAGTAGGAAGCACTTCTGAAGGAGACCAAAGTAGTCCCTTCGGGTCTACAGGAAGAGTTCATTCCCAAAACCTAGCTGCCCCTATCATAGGAGGACACTTGGACTGGAATCTCCCAACACTCTGTGATGGGCCATTCCCCTTCCCCAGGCAGCCATTTTGTGGTGGCACCTATTACCATTTCCCCATATCCTCAAGATGGCCACAAGTATAGAATATCCAAAGGGAAGGCCTTGGTCTCTATGTCTTCTTGTTGGCCCTCCAGAGGAACTGGTTGGCTACTGTGTGAGAAAGGATGCTGGACTAGATCCACTGGTCTGATTCAGCATGGCTCTTCTTATGTTCTTAATAGCAAGATATTTACTAGTACTACTACTGTTTCTTATGCTCAAACTAGAGAGGACTCTAGTACCACAATTGGAACTCCCTTAGAACAAAAATAAATTGGGTGGGGAAGCAAGATAGTGATGTTGCAGAAAAGAGAAGTTCTCTCTCCACCCCAAGCTGTTTCCCTAATTGGAAATTGTGTGCCCCCCCCCACCCCCCGGGCTGCTTTGAAGGCTGGTATGGGGAAAGAAAAAGAAACTGCTACCACCCCCACCCCCGGTATTATTTGGTCCTTAGTGTCACTGCCTTCCAAGAAGGAAGATGTATGCTAAATTGGAAAGAAGTCATCTTTTTACCTCCCCAAAGGCCCAATTGCCACTGTAAAGTTTCCTCCCAGGGTAAGATTGCCACCTTTAGCAAACGCTTCAACAGCTCTTTCATGATTCAGTATTATTACAAGGTCTGATACCTGAAGAAGGAACAAAAGGAGGGGGGACCCCTTAAACTTTAATATATTCCGGAAAGAAAGAACACAGATATCCAAATTATTTAATCTGCCAACCAGCAGAATAGCATAGAAAACATTTCAAAGAACAGCTGTTATCTGTATCTTTCGGTAGAAGATAAGCTAAGAAAGAAACACAGTATTACTACTAAACAGGCCTCTGGGGCAGTCTTGCTGGGTAAATAAGGGCGCTGGCAAGCTGGTTCAGTTTGATCGTTCTTGCTGCAGGCACCGGCTGTGTTGGGAACCTGGGATGGGTGAGGCTGCATAGGCTGTGGGACAAAGAGGGGGAGGAGAGCTCGCCTGCTGCCCTGCCTGCCTGCCTCCTCCACACTGTTGGTAATCTAATTAGTATTGATCTAATTAGGCTCCCCGCTCCTGGTGTTTGCCCCTCTGCCAGATATTTTTCTGGCTACGGGCCTGCTACTAAATGGCTACACATCTATTGTTTTGGTCTTATGTAACTGCAAAGTAAACATAATTCTAGACCCACAGACTGAAAACATTTAAAGCCGTAGGAGCTCAGGTGTCTGAAACTTAACAGTTTCTGGCAGGGGAGGAATTGGAGAAGATCCTCCTAGTTGACAGCAGCTGAATAACATCTCTCTCTGCACATAAGTATGTAAGCCCTTGGGTGTACCCAGAGGCACAAGGTGAAGGGCTCTTAAAAGGGTTGCCAGCTCTGCGTTGGGAAATACCTGGATATTTTGGGGGTGGAGCCTGGAGAGGGTGGGGTTTAGGGAAGGGAGGGAGCTCAGCAGGGTATAAAACCATGGAATCCCCCCCCAGCAGCCATTTTCTCCATGGGAACTGATCTTGGTTGCCTGGAGATCAACTGTAATAGCAGGAGATCTCCAGGTGCTACCTGGAAGCTGGCAACCCTACTTCTAAGCCTGATGGGTGGGCCTAGAGCTGGGCGGATTATCAGCTGGCGGAGAGAGAAGGCCCACTCCACTATTGGAAGCAGTCCCTCCTTTTGTTTAGTTTGCCTTTTCTCTCCATGTATTGCTAGTTGCTTTGGATTCCCATAAAGAAGAGCGGAATATAAATAAAGAGTTCAGTAAACTAGCATCCTAAAACCAGGAAGGAAAGAGCTACCTCCTCTCTCCTGTTCCACTTGATTACATCCCACCACAAAAAAATCCAGAGGAACAGGCTTTGAGCATGGCCCAAAAGGGGAAATAGCAAGTGATCTGCCATGCCTTTTAAGGCTTAACTCGTTCAGCATAAAACAGCAAAAAGATATCTTTGACAGTGACAGGAAAAACGCACATACATATCACATTCATAAAACAATCACTGTTTAAGATCATCAAGGTGAACTTCCCCCCCTGAAATATGTCTACTACACAGCACTGGCAGGGTTATGGTCTCTTGACTCTTCATCTGTATGCACTTAGAGAAGCTTCGGTCTTGGCTGATCTGTGGCCTAGTAACCTCCTCCCCCCAATTGGGCCCAGAGGACAAAACATCAGGTTGTAATGGGAAGCAGTTGGTTCCTTGATTTAACCAGCTAGACTTAGGGTAAGGTCTGACACTTATCTGGCTAGGGGTCAGTTAGCAGGTGCTTACATGAATGCTCAGCATTACAAGATGGTCCCCTCCTCCCCACTGATGGTGCTAGAGACTCTGCAGCCATGCCAGTCACCTCCTTGCCATCTGTATTCTGAGGAAACACGGTCTCCCCCTTGATTCGTTCCTTGGGAGTAATTCTTACGGAAAGCATGACTGCTGAACTTGAGATTTTGTAAATTAGTTTACAAAACTAAACTACCGACTATTAAAAACAAGTCTTGTGAAGGAGCTCATCCCACAATAAATGTGTTTGTCTTTAAACTGCTACAAGACTTATTTTGGCTGAAGTAGACTACCCCTACTGTATTCTGAGGAAACACAGTCCCCCCTTGATTCGTTCTTTGGGAGTAATTCTTACGGAAAGCATGACTGCTGAACTTGAGATTTTGTAAATTAGTTTACAAAACTAAACTACCGACTGTTAAAAACGAGTCTTGTGAAGGAGCTCATCCCACAATAAATGTGTTTGTCTTTAAACTGCTACAAGACTTATTGTGGCTGAAGTAGACTACCCCTACCCCCGACTGGATCTAAGCAATTTAAATGTCTATCATGAAAGAAACACTTGGAAGACACAGGATAGCACGGCTAGTGCTCAGCCATAAACTCTTACTAAATTAGCATACAATATATACAGCTATAGAGCTTGTTCTAAGGTTCTAGGTCAGGCAACAACTAGAAAGTGTTTTGCGGCATTGTCAGGTATAGAACAGAAGGTGCATGCATGTAAAAAGAATGATGTATATTTATTATATAGAAAATGCTTACCTCGATTCCAATTTCAAACCCACCGCCAAGGCCAGCTATTCCTATTGCAGAAGGAGCAGACCAGCCTGGACAACATGAACAGAAACACATCTTGACAATGTACCATCGTTTAGAAGTCATTGGGCGATTTCTCACTAGAGCTGCCTCGCAGACCAGCGCCGTTTGCCCCAACACAAACATTTCACACCTGAGGCTGCGGGGCTGCATTTTGACTCGGGGCTTCACCCGATTTCCTCCGCAGTTTCATGGTCCTCAAAAACCAGGATCACGAAACTGCGGAGGAAATCGGACGAAGCCCCGAGTCAAAATGCAGCCCCGGAGCTTTGGGTGTGAAATTTACATGTTTGTGTCGGGGTAAACGGCGGCTGTGCTGCGAGGCAGCTCTAGTGAGAAATCACCCATTTACTCATGCCACATGGAAAGAGGCGCTCACCACATCGCAAATGAGCCAGGTCATTTTGCACACTATGTTCCCCAAGTGGGGGAGACGAGTAGGCACTTGAAGATCATGCTAAATCTCAGTTAAGATATCTTAACATTTCCATAAGTGAACACTGGAAAATTTATAGCAATAGTTTATCTAATTCAAATTAGGCATGCCAAAAAAGATACATACTACATAGGGTATTGAAAATAAAGTCAGAAACTGCTTCCGGTTTGGCTTCCCGAATGGCGGACGCAACCTTGGGGCGCTTCCGAGGGCATCTTCACCCGCCCGCGGTCGAGGGGGGAATCCGCGCAAGCGGAGACCCGGACAAGCCCCAGGGGGGCTCCGACTCGGGGCGCGCGAGGGGAAAAGCCTCTTTCTCGACCGGAAGGTTGGAAATTGAGGCTCCCCTCATGCCCCAATGAACCTCACCGTGTTCGCGGCCCCGCACGGGGCTTAGCGGAGCTGCCAGACGCCACCTGAGTGATGAAGTGAAAATGCGAATGAAATGAAAAGGAACGGCTGAAATTGTAAGTTGCCAATCGGTATAATGAACTGATGCAAAGCGTGTTTCTACCCCCCCCCCAAGCGAAAGAGGAGGAGGGATTCCCGAACTCCCGTTTAAAAAGAGACTTTAAATGAGAAAAGGGGGGGGAGAACGAAAGCCGAGGAGAGTGGTGTCACCTGTTGATGGAAAGTCATGAAGATTTGTTTTTGTCGATCGCTAAGATGAAAAGAAGCTAAGCGCGTTTCTCCCCCCCTCCTAGCGAAAGAGGAGGAGGGATTCCCTGTGCTCCCATTTAAAAAGAGATTTTAAAGGAGAAAAGGGGGGGGAGAAGGAAAGTTGAAAAGAGTGATGTTACTTGGCGATGGACTGTTTGAAAAGAAGTTATGAAGTTTTATCTTCTAACTGCGCTTTGCGAACTTTGTTTAATGTAAACAAAATAAATAAGATGTTGGAGCTGGAAAAAGAACTGTGCAACAAGAAGGGAGGAGCTTCCGGTTTGAGCGATAGCCTCTTCTGGGAAACCTGTTGAAAGGCTTTGAGCTGCGATGAATGAGAAAAATGCCATTAAAGCGGAGGTGTGGATAAGGGATCCAGCTACAAGAACGACAGCGTTTATTTTAAAGTCGAAAGATATAAAAAGAGAAAAAATCGTTCTAAGAGCTTGGGACTTTATCGGAAAGGCGTGTTGAAAAGCGGCAGTTGCAGGCTGTGAGCGGCAAGCGAAGACCCGGAAGAGAAGTTAAAAAGTTGGAGAAGAGAAGGAGGAGGAGGACCCTTCCTGTTGTTTTTTTTATCGGAGGAGAAACCAGCCCGAGGATAGAAGAGCCAGTTCACAAGGCGATTGAAAAGGTTTTTTTCTTTTTTACTAACAGCGATATAGTGGGACACTACTAACTTTTACTAATAACTGTTTATAACTAAGAAGATGAAAGACGATTGACAACACAATGAAGCCAAAGAAGATTTTTTTATACTATTACTAACAGTTTAATATACTAATGAAAGTATCACTCGACCTTTTCTTTATCCCTCTATATACCCTTCCTCCTTTCTGATATGAAAAGCAATAAAATTCTCTCCTTTTTAGGAGAGTTTATATACAAAAAAAGAAAAGAAAATAAAGTCAGAAACTATCACCTGCAAATCTGACCCAAGCATAAACTCCTTTGGCATCCCCCAAGAAAGCAATCAGACTCCCATCCACGAACATCTGCAAGTCTATGGCTGTGATACTGTTTGTGGGTTCTTCAACAGAAGGGGAGGGGGGGAAATGCTACAAACGTCAAATTTAGATCATGCTTGATCTGTTATACTTCATAAACATATCCATATCAGTTTTGAGAACACTATGATTCTTTGCTAATACCCTGGAAAAGATTTTTCCTTTTAAAGTATGTACACCATTCAAAACTTCCTGAAATTGGTAAATCTTTAGGGAAGAGAACTAACTGAACAGAAGACCCTTGCTTACCAAAATGGTTTCATTATTTAATCAGAAAAGTTTCATAACAGTTTATAATGAGCTGTTTTATAGCACAGAACTCCTAATCCATTTTATGCAATCACACTGTAATACTTTCTGGATAAGTAGAGACTCAAGACAAAGAAAACATTCATTTGTAGCTATTCCTCAGAGTTAAGGAAACAAGACAACAGTGTCTGCCAGCAATGCACACATCTAAGGCAAGTAGCTGCATCAGTAACACAATTCCATCTCAGTGTCAGCATATTGTTTTCAGTGAGTTCCATCGCTTTCCAGAAGCATGGGAGGCAGAAGATGACAGCTTGACACCGAATAACCAAAAAAGCATTCACAGGTATCAAAATGTTAATAGCACTAGAACACAGCAAATGGCATTCAGTTCTGCATTGAAACTAATTCACTATTGTTCTTACCGACACAATTTTTAAATAAGAACTCTGACACTGCCAAGTTCCATGGTGTAGTCTTACAACTGAAACTAAACAGAATGCTTTTGCATTTTCTTCTGTCCAATTCAGCTAATAGGTATGAGCACAATTTTGTTTTCTTTTTGAAAAACTTGATCTCATTTCATTAAATTGGTTAATATTATAAGTTTCAATTACTCAATTTGTTTTTTTCCCCCCATTTCAATCGGGAATTCGTCCTTCCTTTATCCCTTTCCCCTCTCTTCCATATGGGATGAAACCTTATGGCAGCACATCCTGACTCAAACAATTTTCCCTGCCAAATGTCAGACCCAGAGGATAAAGCATCCCTGTTTTATAGGGAATTAAAATTCTCACTTGCAGAGCAGGCACATGAAGATGACTGGTACCCCAAAAAGACAATTAGGAACACAGACAACAATAAATAGGGGAACCCTTAAATGTTTACACATGCCCTGATATTCATATGTTAAGAAAGCAGGGGCAATTTGAGGGTTTGTAAATATTGCCCAGGGAGGGAAGGTAGCATGTTACAGCCTGATGTCATCAGATCTCGGAAGCTAAGATTGCTCAGTACTTGGATGGGAGACCATCCAAGAACACTACTACTACTATTACTTCTGCAGAGGAAGGCAATGGCAACCCCCTGTTTCTAACTTGCCTTGAAAGCCCCTTGCTGGGGTTGCCATTTGTAGGTTGCAACTTGATGGCACTTATGTACATATATAAACACTGTTCTTTTTGCCAGGCTCAGCTACTAAAATAAAGAGCCTGGCTGGAAGAAATGTTCTTCAAGGACCTGAGTGCACTGATGTCAGATGACATTACCTTATCTTATTTAAAAATACATGTCTTCTCACTTTTTTGGGTATTTTTTTTAATATATGCATGTGTGTGCGCGTGTACACCTGGAAGTCACGGCAACCTCTGGTGACTGACCCCTACTGGAGACCTGGAGATAGGCTTGCCAAGTCCAGCCTGGGGGGCGGGGAAACCCCCGCCCCAGAGGCCCATTCCCCGCCACCAGCGGATCGGGCCCCAGGGGGAACCCCACCCCCAAACCATGCGACGTGCACGTCACCCAGAAGTGACACGACCACGCCGGGCACGCTGGGGGCGGGGCCATGGTCATCCGAGGAAAAACTCTATGGTTTTCCCTCAGATGGTCGTAGCCATGCCCCAGCGTGCCCGGCGTGGTCGTGTCACTTCCGGGTCACGTGGTTGTGGCGTGTGTGCGCTTTACGCGCACTCCCGGAGCGGCGCTGGAGTCCTCCGCTCCAGCACCACTTCAGACTTGGCAACCCTATTTGGAGAATATTCAGAGAGATGGCTGAATAAAGCCTGCCCCCGCTTCCCAACTGCTGGTATTCCAAGGTGGTCTCCCATCCAAGTACTTGCCAGAGTCTTAGCTTCTGAGATCTGATGAGATCGGCCTTGCCTGGGCTATCCAGGTCAGGGCTCCTCACTTTCTTTACACAAGAATTGGTGGGTTTCTGTAAACAAACAAGAATCTTCCCTCTCCTTCCATGGCCCATTACTTTTTAAAATAATCTAATATGGCCCATAACTTTTCAAAATCCTTTCTGCACCCCACATGAAATGTTATTAGGTAATAGTGTGGAGAAGAAAGACTTATTTCTTTTAATGAAAGTGGGCACACTTACTTCCAGTAGGCAGACGACCTAGTACAATCCCGCTTCCTCCTCGAGCTGTTACCAAAAATCCAGCCTTGATAACAGATAAGATTGCGAGGCCTTTTGCTTTAGCAATTACATGGGCTGCAAATAATGAAAAGTTAAAGAATACATAAGGAAAAGAAACTCTTCATAGGGCAAAGCCTTTTTAAAAAATCAAACTAAATCTAAGCATATTTTGAAAAATCCAACAAAATATTGCAGTTGAAGCTAATGTCACCCAGTCCAACATTTGACTTTTTCTTCTCAGAGAAGCAGATTCCTATTTTTTTTTGTTCAGTCGCACAGTCGAGTCCAACTCTTCGCGACCCCATTGTTTTTGCAACTGCCTTTTGTTTAAACAATACTTTGCCATATAAGATGGGGATGGCTATGACTTCAAGAAACACAAATCCCAAAATCCTTGTTGTGTATATGAAATTTGTTCAGGTTTGGGTTGGTTTGGGGGTTTTTTTGGTCTTTTTAATTGGAAAGCTGGATAAATATAAAACTGTTGCCAGAACTTGAACATTTCTTGCTGGGAGGGGGAGAAGGGGGGATTCTGCTGCAAAGTTATCATCATCCACTTTGCCAACCAACACAAAAGCCAGGGATTTCTCTCACACACCTTTCAGAGTTAGATATAATATGAATAAAGTGATCTTGTAGATGGCAGCTATAAGGCCCTTAACTTTGCTATTTGTGGCTAAGAGTATTTCAAATGTTGTGAGTGGCCTTTTTAATGGTACTGTTGTTAGGAGATCCAATCAAACGTTGTAGTTGGAGATATTCAAACCATGGTAGATTAACCTCACACTTGCCGAGGGCTATATGGATGCCGAGCTCGTGAAAGGAAGGATGTGGGAGAAGAGGCAGCCACTCAGTCAGTTCTGCTCACACTTCCCACATGCTGATCACCGCATTTGTTGGTGTGTTGCTCTGGGATGGCCCTCTCTCATGTCTCAGACCACCATCATTGATTGCTGTGGCTCAGGGTCCAAAATCCCATCCTGGTTCCTGTTGTAGCCTAATATGTGCCTTCATCTGATGCACAGTGTCAGACTCCCAAATGGCCGGAGGAAGCACCAACTTGGAGGAGTCCCCTAGGGCTTTGCTGATGGTTTCAGGCATGTCCCTAATTGCTTCTTGCGACACCCAAATCATTGCATGGTGGCCATTGAGACACCTCCATGTTGCACTTGTATTCATGACAATCAGTTTGGTATAGAGGATTTGCCCAGCCCAGACAGTTTCAGTAGCCCTGTCTTTCACACATAGTGGCCTCTCCATCTTCCTCCTGTTCTCCATGTTGACCACACACTCAGCGATGGCTATTACTTCCATTAGGGCAGGTTGCTGTAGTCGGAATCAGAAGATTCAGAACCAGAAGGGTTGCTGTAGTCCACATTTCTGAGAATTTACTCCCACCGCCTCCCCTTCGATATACTCTTCTTGGAACACCGTATCTTTCTTGGAGGTGCCCTCCACCACAGCCTCCTTGTATGTGTTAGCATATCTTCTGAACTTGAGCACCAACAGATACTCGGGTCAGCAGAAGTGTCAGCTTAGCTAGCTGACTCTAGATATTTGTCACACAATATAGTGGTAGCAATGGACGATTAATTTGCCTGGAAATGTGTATTAGATGAGATGGGTGATTTAAAAGGGATACTGAAGAGAGCTTTGTAAATGAGAACCGGACAAGAAAATACATAGCATAAGTCTTATAAAAACTGGGACTGGTTATTTAAGCACAGCACACCTGCCATTCATCACTGGAATTGTATTATCCTTGGCAGAAGAGATGGACTTTAGATTCTGCATGGTGGTTGCATAGATTTTGAGAGATCAATAAGTACATTCATTGCTAGAAAACATGCCCCCCCAGCAAAAAAACAACAACTGCTCACATGAATCACTACTAATAATCCAATGCATTATTTTGGTAATAATATATTGGATGACTAGATACGAATATGGAAAATAACACATTAGATGAGAAACATTAGCATGATGTTTACTCACTTTGCTGATCAAACACAACAGAGGACATCATAAGTCATTCTGGAAGGGCTGCTTGTTTCTGGCTATATCTTCTCTGGTAATGTCATCAGGGAAACCCAGTTTGCTGTGACTCTGAGTGAAAAACTGTATTGGGGGAGGAATATTTTGATCAAGTAGAAGGCCAAAGGAGCCAGAAAAAATTCCTATGATGGATCTTGTCAATACTACAGATACTCCACAGCAATGATCAGGTCTTCAGAGATGTCCATGTCTTCCATCTTCTCTTCCTCAAACTGCCCATACAGTGGAATCTTCACATTTCCACCCTGCTCATAGACTAGGACAAAGGCTCCTGTGGTAATGGGTATCATAGTTGCATCTCTTCTGGGAACATGCTGGCAAGGCTGGTTGAGCCTGCTGGTACTTCCACAAACAGTACTGAAGTGGAGGCATCATAATTTGTCATCTCTCTACTGGCTCTGGATGGCTCTGTTGAAGAATAGCCCTTGGTACTGTTTGCTATTATGAGGAAGATAGCTTCCACAAACTGATGAAAATCTGTCGAGGTTGTTAACCCTCATGGCCAACTTGCTGAACTCAGAGATAGAAGGCATAATGGCAAGAGTGACAGAGGAAGCAGGTGCTTTGCTAGCTGTCCATCACTTGCTCCCTTCATCATCCCACTGCCTACAGTACAGCAGGTGGTCATATCTCTCCATTCAAGAAGCATCAGTGCCAGCTTCTCAAAAACACAGTATGGTTCTGATGAACACTGGAGCACTTGAATTACTTTTTAAGGAAATTAATGCTCTGAATCATGAAGACAATCTGTTGAAGATCCTCTTTGTATCTGTATTGACTTGTCACCCATAAGTCTTTAAAGACACCAATTTCTAGCTGGACAAAGTCATGAATTTTATGGTCTTGGACTCCAGAGTTGAGTCCCAATTTTCTGCTCAAGACTATCGCTATATGAGTAGAGAGAGAGAGAGATGAGTTCCAGGGTGTCAGCAAAAGAGAGGATCTGATGAGGAATGACAGTCAGGACAGGGTATGATATTGTGCCACAGGAGGCATTGCAAAGCATCTGTAGGCTCCAAAAAACCAGTCAGGACAGGGTATGATATTGTGCCACAGGAGGCACTACAAAGCATCTGTAGGCACCAAAAAAATGGAAAGGGTTTCTACAGATATTGGAGAAGGTAAATTTCAGTTTGCCGTACAGAGTAGGTATGTGCTATTTTTCATGTTTCACACCTAATCATGGAACATCCTTATCGATCACTGCACACTTTACATCTCAGTGTAGAAGTATGGTAAAGCTAGCTGTTCCCACTTGAGACATCATGCATTTTTTGTTTCAGTACAAAACATATTGATGGGACAGAGACAGATAACATCTATGGTTATTTCTGGAAAACAGTCCTAAATGTTTGTAATATACGATGGGTTTCACACTGAACAGTTCTTAATAAATACAGACTATCTAATGAGCACTTGTACGTTACCTTCTTTCTTCAAAAAAGGAATGATCTTAGCAAGAACAATATTTTGAGAGTCAGCAGAGCTGTGAATTCAGCTTGGAGACAGGGCAGGGACCAAGAAAGAGGAAGGAATAATATAGGAAAGCATTTGTGATAGAGAGCCACCAGAGCAATCTGATTTTTTTCTCTCTGCTCCTTTTTCTATAGCCAGGCCAGGTACAATGCCCCCTCAAACCATGGTTAGACAATTTCAGATACAACCCAAACTACAATCTGTCCAAATGTTGCATTGCAAACCAACTTCATATCACTGTTAACAGTCTGGTTTGATGGTTCAGTAACTGCAGACCATGGTTTGCAAACCAGAATTTGTCATCTATATGAATTAGATAAGCATATGGAGCAGAGGGAATTAGATAAGCATATGGAGCAGAGGTCCATCAGTGGCTATTAGCCACAAGGTATAGATAAGGACTCTGGGGCAAGTGATGCTCTGTCTTCTTGGTGCTTGGGGGGGTCAACAGTGGGAGGGCCTCTAATGTCCTAGCCCCACTGGTGGACCTCCTGGTTGCACTGGTATTTCTGGCCACTGTGTGATACAGAGTGTTGGGCTGGATGGGCCTTTGGCCTGATCCAACATTGGTGTCTCTTATGTTCTTATATATCTAATTCTCAACATGCCCCCTATGTGTGGATATCTAAATCTGCAAATAGGGGGCACACTTACCCCCAAAAAGTTTTCCTGCAAACTTGGGTAATCCCCTAGCTTTGCAGAAAAAAAATGAAATTCTGAAAGAGTGATTAACACATGAAATTCACTGCCACAGGAGGTGGCGGCGGTGGCTACAAGCATGGATGGTTTCAAGAGGGAATTAGATAAACATATGGAGCAGAAGCCCATCAATGGCTATTAGCCACAAGGTATAGATAGGAACTCATAGTCTGGGGCAAGAGATGCACTGTATTCTTGGTGCTGGGGGGGGGCAACAGTGGGAGGGCTTCTAGTGTCCTGGCCCCACTGCTGGACCTCCTGATGGCACCTGGTAGTTTTGACCACTGTGTGACAGAGTGTTGGACTGGATGGGCCATTGGCTTGATCCAATATTGGCTTGTCTTATGTTCTTATGTAAAACTGAAAAAAATAAATCGGGAGGCTTAAATTCCCTCCTCCTCCCAATAAAAGGCATCTGCACATACGCAGACAATGCTACTGTCCAGGCCAGACTCATCCACACTGTTGCCACTCCCAACAGAGCCGCCACTGTCCTAGCCTGAGACCCCAAACACCATCGCCGAGCCTGCTGCCACTGCCAGGCCAGCCATTGCCACTGCTAAGCCTGTTGCTGGTAGGAAAGCTACCACTGCCAGGCCGGCCATTGCCACTGCCAAGCCTGTTGCTGCCACCAGAGCTGCTGCCAAACCCATCAATGGTGAAGAAGCAACCTATGGGGTTGCCGACCCCCAAAGGGGTGTCAGGCCAGTCCAGGCTGCCGCCATGCCACCCACCACTGGGGAGGCTACTGTGAACCTCATTGCTGGTGCCAATGGCCAGAAATGAAGGGCCAGGCTTGACTTTGTCACCTCAATGCTGGGTGCCTCCGCACACTGGCTTTCTGCCTCCTGGGGTCCCACAGAGCGTGCCCTGGCAACCACAAAGGATACAGGCTCCTGAGATGGGAGCCTGTAATAGGCACGCCAGGTTGGATGAGGAAGAGGAAGAGGGGAAGGAGAGAAGGAAGAGAAAGCACTCACCAAGGGACAGAGAGGAGTAAAGCCATTGCTGGGTTCAAAGGCAGGGAAAAGGGAGGATTGGCTCGGGGGGGGGAGAAAGAAAGGGAGAGATGGGGGTATTAGGGGGGAAGGAAAGATAGGGGTTGACTTGGGGGGAGAGAGAAAGACAAAGAAGGAGGGATTGGCTTGGTGGAGGGTTGGAAAGAAAAAGAAGGGGAGATTGGCTTGGGGAGAGAAAGAAAGGGGAAGATGGGGGGAGAGGGAAGAAAGCAAAGGAAAAAAGCCCCCTCCCTGTAAGTTCCTTGAGGGTCCCCACTTGTTATCTCCAAACGCTGATGTTTTTCAGCGTCTTCACTCAACATTTATTGTAGCATTGGGCCACTGCTTTTGTAGCTTTTGGGCCACTGCTGCCTCCTGGAATTTATATCAGTCACTACCATGAGAACAATTTATCAAGACTTATAGTCTCAACACCAGCGTTTTGCCATTTTGCATTAAATATAGAGCTCATGCTTTATTCTTCTAAAGTGAGGTCAGATAAGAGGAAAGCCAAGAGTGAAGCTTTGCTGAAAGACAGAAGGATGAACTAAAATTCCAATTTAAAAAAGAGACAGAGAGAGAGATCCTTACTAACCAGGTATGATCTTGTCGGGTCCATTCCTGGATGTTATTTCTGTAAATTCTCTTAAGATTTTAGCTGCTTTTTTTGCTTCTGACTTCAAATTGGAAGGTATAGGGTTATTCACTGAGAAAAAAATGATAAATATTATAAAAGCCATAACAAAACCTTGAATATCAAAGGGTTGGAACGATTCATGATACTTTATGAACATTCAGTGTTTGGACTGCTATGACCTTGAGCATCCAACTTAGCACAAAATGCATAATACTATATAGCTTTCCTGCAATCTCAGCAAATTATAACTGGACTTTTGAGAAATCACACCAATCAAATGCAGTAAAATTTATTATTTTGTTAAACACAACAGTGGGAATACAGCCTGTCGGTAAGTGACACATTCCTTCAGCAGTAGATTTGAACTATGCTTCAAGCTACGTAAAGAATTATTCCAATTCCCATTCCAATAGCATTCAAGGGAGACAGGGAATGTAGCAGGAAATTTATAAAAAGTTATTCCAGAGAGAGGATTTTATTAATTGATAGATTTGGAGTATTTGGTGAGAAATGCTTATTCAAGAAAGATGATATAGAAACCCCATCTGAGTCAGCGCGGTGCATGCTCCACGGTGCTTGCTTCAGGGCAGAATGTCATCAGAAAATTGACATACTGTTTAATTTGCAGGTTTCTAAGGGAAGCCTGTCTATCCATAATTAGTATTCCAACTGTGTTATGTTGGCTTAACTCCTTTTAAACAAGCTTTCTTTTTACTTTGATGACTTTGCTGAAGTCTTTAAAATAAAACTCATGGTTATGGCCCTATTAAGGCAAAGCATAAAAGCTTGCCATTTTCATCAAACAACTGACACAACTTACAGGAATAAAGATTTGAGCTACAGAACTTGTGGGCCATCAGATCCATTGTGAATAGAATTATGTAACCTATTCTTCACAGTAGAAAAGGAAAAGGAAAGAACAATATACACCTTTTCCTGCACTAAAAAAGCTTACAAAATAGAAGACAGGGAAAGATTTTTTAAAATGACAAAAAATAACTTTAGAAAATAGATAACATTTATAGTGTGCAAATGGATCAAAGAACTGATATTTTAAAAAATTACAATCTGAGATACAGAGCAAAAATCCCAAACAGAATCTTGCAAATGTGTCTAAAGATTCTTGGAGACAGCTAAATTCTCAGCTCTTGACCAATATCTGGCTATGGCTTAGATATGAGAGGGCTGACACACTGGATCAATACAAGTAATGGCTACTGCAGAGACTTACAAATCTCTCCACAGATTATTGCACAAGTGGATTTGTCAAGTGTAGACCAGATCATAACAACTGGTGTTAGCCGAACTGCTTCATCTACAGCAATTGGCAAATTTTAAACTGGGTGCTTGCCAACTATACCAAGGTCCCGTTCCTACCAAAGGGTTACCAGAAAAGGAGTCGAGGCTGGTGTTGTTAAAATAACTGTCTTTGAGAAAATATATCACATACAAACAATACGGATGCACTCACATATTCAATCAAGTTCCTCAAAAATACAGTATTAAAATCAGCACATTTGCATTAGCAGGTAAGGTGATGGTGGGTGATACTTATCTGTCCTGAAGCTTGTTCGCTCCAATGAAGAATAGATGGGAAGAAAATAGAACTCTAGGGAAGTTTAACACACAGCCAGAACCAGCCAGCATGTGTGGGTCTCTTGACTGCAGATCAAGAGATCAAAGTGGAGACAAGGGTTTGGGGATAGCAAGCTGGACAAAAGGGGAGTATAAAGCAGATAGGGGTCGTTGTGGGGGTTGCTAGCTAGGAAGGGCCAGGCCAATGGTCCTTACCTTTTATAGATGACCCTTGGGTGGGAGGTAACGGTTCCAACCTGTGGACCCACCTACCTGTTAGTGCGTCCCAAAACTAATCCCATTGGTTGTGTGTAGTGAGGGGTGGCTACCTAGAGGGTTGGCCAATATTGTAATCTAAGACCTAACTCAAAGGATGGCATCTGGGCAAGTGTGAAAACTTGGCGTCATGGTGCTCCCTTGAAGTGCAGATGAAGCTTGACCATTCCCTGGTCATCAAAGGTCCATCTGGCAGGAAATGCCAATGCAGAAATAAAGCAGAGATGTGGCGTGCGTGACTGCTAACAATTCAACAATGGGGGCTGCTTCTTCTCAAGTTGTTGTTTTGCTGACAATAATGGAGATGTGTGCTTCCTCACCAGGCTGGCAGCTGAAACCTCATTCACGTGTAAGGCTTATGCAGGCACCTTCTATGTGTAGTATCACAACAGGTGATTTGTACAGCTGTGTGTGTGTGTGCACAGTCCATTGTGTGTGTAGCAGCAAACATAAGTCCATAACACAAATATCAATCTCATTCCTTAACACTGGCGTGTTTATAGAAAAAAGCATAAGACAACTCACAACTCCACCCACAGTCTTCAGAGGATAGATATCTAGATACATTTTGCTAGTTTTAACTGCTTTCCCTTTGTACTCTGATAGTGTACAATAACACAACAGAAGCACGGACTTTACCAATGCTATTTTTAAAATATCACATATACACTATAGTTTAATCATGGAAATCCAGCTTTGGGCTGTGATCTAAGAACATATTCTCATGAATGGGTTTAGCGCCTCAACACAGAATCCATTATCTAAGCTCCCAACAAGATGCTTTGAATTTATTTTATGACTTTATCTCAGGGAAATCTGCTAGATAACCTAATTAAAAGACAAAAATATTATCAAGAGGATTTTATGAATCTCACAGGAAATTACTTTTGTATTCCAGAACAGTTGGAATTGAGCATCTAAGTACACACACATAGAATTCTCTATCATCCCCCTAAGCAGGATAATCTCTCTGAATGAAAGCTGAAATATATTAGAGATGGGAGAGAGAGAGAGAGAGAGAGAGAGAGAGAGAGAGAGAGAGAGAGAGAGAGAGAGAGAGAGAGAGATGGGATATAGGGGAAGCATGAATTTGTCTCTTATTAAAGAGTTGGCATATTTAGTTTCAGAGGGTAGCTCTGCTGGTCTACAGTAAAACAGTCAGATTCAAGCCCAGTAGCACCTTACAGACTAACAAGATTTTCAGGGTATGGGCTTCTGAGAGTCAAAGCTCTGTCTGTCAGATACCACAGCATCAAATTCACCAATGCAATGCCAGGCAAAGCAGTTGCGATCTGAGTCCCTTTCTAAAAGCAAGGAAGAAAACGGTAGTCTGAATTTAAGAGGAGAATTATTTGGTGATTTTTTAATCAGACATTTTTAGTCGCTGCTTACCCAGGGTTCTCATGGCAATTTACAACAATCAAAGTAAAATCCCTGCTTGTGCCGGCCACAGTTCTTACCTCACACACTGTTGAATTACCAAGCAAGACCTGGTTAAAAGAATGCTGTGGGTTCAAAGGACCATGTAGGGAGAGGCTGTTCTTAAGGATATATGGGTGCCAAACCATGATTGGGCCTAGAAGAATGCTGACAGTCAGTGCCATTGATATAACACTGTATAGAAATATTGCTTCTATATTCACATGCCTTCTCCTGTGATGTCTTTTGATAACATGCTGTGTCTTGTTTCCTGTTGCAAGCCAAATGGTGAGGCCACATGGCCTCAATAGCCATGCCATAAACCCACATTCTTTCACACTTTCATGCCAAAAGCCAGACCTCATGGCTACACTTTCTGGCCCACATGAGACAAGTCATGTACACAATGAAGTAGCTGGAGTTTGGGTCAGCTGACTGCAGGCAGGGTCTCCAAACTTCCAGCCAATCCCACAAACCTGATGTTAGCAACCATGGCAACCAACAATTGGGCACACCCATGCCCACTCGCAATTGGCTGATGTCACATCTAATTTGTGAGTGGAATTGGGGTATAATTGTTTGATCCCTATGGGAGTGAGTGCTCTTCTCTTCCCCTTGCTCTCTCTCCCCTGTCATTGTTTGATTGCACCTGAAATGCTGTCTCTTGGAAGACAAAGAGTTGCTTTGTGACTTGGAGCACATGAGTGTGCAAAAATGGGATTTCCCTTCAAAATCCCTTGGTACTTGGACTATCTTGGACTGATGAATACTCCTGACTTGGTAACTATGAATCATTAATGTTTAGCTAAGGCAAACAGCCCTAGCCTTTGTTATTTTTGTAATCTCTGGTAGTCTATGCTAAGCTCTGTACTGAATAAAGATCCTTCTTATTGCTAATTTGTCTCTGGTGTTGTAACTGAATTCCAAGACTAAGTCTTGTGCCTAACCCTGACCACATATGCTACCTTGGTAAGAGTGTGCATCTCTGGATAGAGTTGCTACTGTGTTAAATCCCAGATGCTAACTAAGGGTTGGAATCTCTCCCTTAGGAAAGGCAGGGACTAGTGAAAAGAGGTTCTGGTGGCAAATTGTTGTGAAGACCAGAGATAGTATAGACTGTCTCGTGGCTTGTTATTTAATGTACTGAAAAGTACAGGATTCCCTCCCATCCCTAGACTGGCCTGGGTGGGCTAATCCCTGTACAAACATACATTGTTTACAGTTCCCCAAATCCATAGGAAGGGAAGCAGCTGCAGTCTCAACTAGCTTAAAGTTACAGAGTCATCTTCAACAGCAGTCCACACACAGCAGATTATAGCCTGGAGACTATAAAAGCATGAATCATCATTGAAAGAGTCTGTCTGCTAGGGAAGAGCTGGAACCTCCATAATCGATGAAGCTAATAAAAAGCTACCAATCACAACCTCCTCCCTGCTTATAAAAAAGCACCCCATGTATTGTACTCATTCCAATGGGGAAGTCATAACCCCATCAGTCACAGGTAATCCAGATTCTTCCAGGGCCTGAAGGCATCTCCTCCAATTTGTGTGGATTCAATTTCAGTCTGTCCTAACTCATTCATCTGATCAGCACCCAAGCTGCTGGTTCAGAAGAACAGCTGCAGTCCTTTCCTTGATAATATGGGATTTACTTCAGAGCACTGTTCCCTTTCAGCTGAATTAGTGTGAGCTAGCTCACAGTTTTTTAGCCTCCGGCTTACACATTTTTGTCTTAGCTCAGGAAGGATGGCTCCAGAGCAAACTAATTTATGCAGCAGCCAAATCACTTGCTCACAACTTTAATGCCAGTAGCTCACAAAGTAGAATTTTTGCTCACAAGATTCCACATCTTAAGAGGAAGTATTGCTTCAGAGTAGATCTGCTTAGAATTGCTCCCAAATGATTCATGACAGAAATATAGGGCTGGGTGCCATTAGTATGCTGATGACATCTCTCTCCAAGATTATGGATGAGTTCTCCAGGATTAGGAGGTCATCCCTGGGAAGCTCTGCTTACCTTCAGCTTTAAAACTGAACACCACAAAAGCTGAGCCAGCAGTATGTATACAAGCTGGAAAACACTGAACTAAAGTAGGCCTATTTCTGACTGATTTTTAAAAACACACACATTTCAGTTTATACAATGAGGATATGATATGCTATTCTGTTGTATAGTCTGATCATTTAAAACAAATAATAATAATAAAAAATAAGGAACCTGGGATGGCGTTGAGAACCAACCATACACCAAGAAGTCTCCCATTCAAATCCCATATTTGACATAATTCATTAGGTAACCTCAAGCAAAGTGTTCATTCTCTTTGTCTCAGTCAATCCCCACTTGCAGAATGGGAGTAATAATAGTGGGTTGCAGGATCATTCTCAGGTTTGCTAAGCAATGTTTGTGATGTATCTTTGGCACCATATTAATTTCGTTTTGCCCAACTCTTCAGTCAAACTTCGGCTCCCAAAGCATCTGATGTCAATTTAAAACTCCTACTCATATTGACTAAGATATAACAATAACAAGGACTGTTTAGGAATCAGGATCTCAGTAAGGTCTCAGTCCAGGCATAATGCAAAGGTACCTGGCTGCTTCCTCTGTATGTCTGGTCTCACTGATGGCAATTGGTGGTAACTGAGAAGTGGCTACAAGCTGGAGCTGGGCCTGTATAAATAATCTCTCACATATGCTACTATTACTATGAAATTTCACTTAATGAAAAAGTGCATTCATGTATAAAGCTATTTTTTCTTTTTTCTTTTCTTTTTTTCAACTTAAAAACATCTCAACCAAAATTGAAACCCCATTAATTTCAATGGCAAGCAAATAAACACATGATTGAAAAAGCAGTGGGGAATTTTTTTTAAAAAAAATCTTTGGCTAGGATATGCCTACCTTTCCTCATCAAGCATTCTTTAATAAGCCAAAATGTCTGTGCTTTCAGGCATCTATCCACAATAATTTTTAGTGAGTAGATGGGAAGGCAGCTAGAATAATGTAATCTTAATAACCATAGGTAATAAGATATTGATAAGTATATTTTACTGAATATTATGTCATTGAACATTACAAGAAAACACTGAAGACTATGAATTCTCAAATACATGTCGATCACTAATTTATAGAACAAACATCAAACAAAAATAATAATACAGATCAAACTTTCATATCAGCTGACATTACCTAAAACACAATATTTTTCATTGCAAGTACCCACATAATCCTTGGCAAATACTGAACAATACAGGTGCATGTGTGAGTCAATAATCTTCTAACACAACCAACAATTTAGGCATAACAAAACAATTAAGTTTAGGCCAATTTTAGTCAACGTAACTAACACTTAAAGAGAAGGACCAGTGAATGTAATATTGATTTGGTCCATAAAAGTCACAGATTTGGAGGAATGTAGCATTACCAACCCTCAGTTCTTAGAATGCACTGACCCTTAAATCCAATAGAATAAATACCTTCATGAAAGATCAGGCAAACCAATTTGGGCAACTTTTTTTGATTGAGTTCCCAAAACTATTTTTAAAAGCAACCACATGCTACTGGACAATGTGAGAACACAAACTGAAATCACTTGTGCACAACACAGAGAAAACATTAGTTCTTTCTCAATTGGACTGAAAATCTAAAAATGACAGGTGGCCTTTCCAGACTATGGATTTTTGAGATTTACACCCCCCCCCCGTATTATTTTAAATATTCCATGTATTTCAGTAAGAGCTATTTAGAAATCCAGCAGAGGCAGGGAGGGGAAAGACGCCAAGGAGATCCACTTTCTTGAAAGATTTCCTCCGCCAATTCGTACCTTCCCTTATTTATGAGCATCCATATACTTACTCCTTTCAGTGCGCTCATACACACACACGAAAACCCTCGATGGAAAAGACTCTCCCAATCTTGGCAACACCACATCAAGCAATTGCCAGAAAACAGAGAGAGGAAAGAGTACTACTTCCCTGTGCAAAACGCCACCTACGAGAAGCTGCTGCTCACCTGGAGCAGGTGCATTGAGCAGGGGAATAGTGGACCAGCCAAATGCCTGATTTTTAGGGTACCGCTCTCGGTGAAGGAAAGTGGACGCATGCTGTTGTCATGTTCTGATCATCATATGTGTTTTTACATTTAAAAAGGACAATATTTATTTATCCCTTATATATTTTTTAAAAACAACCACAATCTTTCAGCCAGGCACTATACGAAGACGGAGTTTCAGGGGCTTTTCCTTTTGTTGCCGTAAAGCAGCGAGCGGATTTCACGACAGTTCTGGAGAGCGGCTTCGTGGTTGCTGTTCCGTGGCGGCTTCCTCGCCAACGAGCTTCTTAGTGAATATGGCGTGTGAGGTGAAGTCTGTCTTGTTCGTGTGTTTGGGTGAGTGGAAGACGTGGGGCAAGCACAAGAGAAAGTTGGGGAGGCAGCATGACCAGTTAAGAGGGTCTTCTGATTGCTTGTATCTGGGTCGAAAATAAAAGATGGGAAGTGCTAATGTGATGAGTACAAGAGCATGCAAAATCAGCTCGGGGAGAAAATTGATCAGAACGTCTTCCTTTTATTGTTGCTCATCTTTCTGTTTGCATAATAAAGTGTTCTCTCTAATTGCATAACCTAGTTTTCTAACCTGTCGTCAGTAGTAGCCTCTCTTTCTGTCTTCTTTCTCTCCTGCTGTTTGTTTTCTTACTATTTCACGTGGTTACTACCAATGTTCCCTCTAAGCTGTGGAGTCTTGTGAGCAAACATTCTACTTTGCGAGCTACTGGCATTAAAGTTGTGAGCAAGTGATGTGACTACTGCATAAATCAGTTTGCTCTGGAGCCATCCTTCCTGAGCTAAGACAAAAATGTGTGAGCCAGAGGCTAAAAAACTGTGAGCTAGCTCACACTAACTCAGCTTAGAGGGAACACTGGTTACTACTCTTCCTTGGCTCACCGGTAACTTCCCTTCGTTAGAAGCGCTGCTCGCCCATCTGTGGAGGGTTACTAGTTACACTGTAGTTGTATGCGTGTTGATTCAGAACTCCCAAGTAATGGGCAGAGGGTGGCAGCCTCAAGTAGCATTGTGGGTCCGTCTGACAGCGGAGCGGACCCTGTTGAGTTTAATTGAATTACTTACAGGTAAGCATCATTAGGAGCTGCGGTGGCTCAAGTGGTTAAGACGCTGAACTGCAGGCTGTGGAAGGTCAGTAGTTCAGCAGTTCGAGACCCGGGTTGCCGCATGACGGAGTGAGCTCCCGTCTCTAGTTCCAACTCCTGCCAACCTAGCAGTTCGAAAGCAAGAATTTGCAAGTAGATACATAGGTACCACTTTGGTGGGAAGGTAACAGCGTTCCATGCGCCTTGGTGTTTAGCCACATGCCCACGGAAACGTCTTCGGACAGCGCTGGCTCTTCAGCTTTGAAATGGAGATGAGTACTGCAACCCTAGAGTCGGATTCGACTGGCTTTCGAGCAAGGGAACCTTTACCTTTACCTTTAAGCATCATTAGGATTGTAGATTTTAAGTTGGGTCTGCTAAGAAAAAGGAATGAAGTGGAGGGAAGAGAGAGCAGTGAAACGAGATACCCTGTGCAATATGCACATATTTGCATGTCTCTTTGGGGGCGTGGCAGTGAAGTGATTTCATGTAGAGTGTATTTTGTGGCTGTGAGGTGATGGCATATTACAGCATTTGTAATAGTTTTGTTGAAAAAATAGCAGGTACAGCTTGTCAAATAGGGGTTTGAAAATTGGAGCCTGTTGAGATATTTCTTTTACATTCCTTTTCTATGGGTCAGAAGAACCAGCTAACTAGTGACAAGGGCATTGTGCCTGTACAGTCTATTCTATAACATGATAAAGAACAAGAGCATGCTGTAAACTGTGATTACTGTATCTGTAGTTATTTTTTTAGTATTGCATACTATCTTAATTAGTATTATGGATGTGGAAAAATTAGTATAGAAAGAGGCAAAATCACTTCCTTGTCTCTTGAGCCACTTCTTTGTCCACTTATGATAAGGGTGACAAAATTACTAGCTTATAATTTTATTTCTATGCATACCCAGCCATTCATCTGTTAATCATTTCTTGTAGCTGTCTTTCATTTGAGGAAACATCAGCTCCCAGCTTGTTTGGGGATAATTTTTGTTTTCTCCAAGCTATCAGGGAAGGGGCTATTCACAAAATTGCTGTTGTCAAAAGATCACATTTGAGCTATAATACAAAACTAAGGAATCCTGCCAACCTAGCAGTTCGAAAGCAAGACATTGCAAGCAGATAAATAGGTACCACTTCAGTGGGAAGGTAACAGTGTTCTGTGCGCCTTGGTGTTTAGTCATGCCGGCCACATGACCACGGAAATGTCTTCGGACAGCGCTGGCTCTTCGGCTTTGAAACGGAGATGAACACCACAACCCTAGAGTCGGATTTGACTGGTTTACAAGCAAGGGAACCTTTACCTTTACCTTTTTACTAAACTAGGCTATCCTATATACGTTCACTAGGACAGCTTTTTACGTTCCTCCTCTTTTAAGGACTGGCTGTTGTCTTGCAATATGAATTTGGTCCACAGCTCTTAGTTGCATAACAACTTTGTCTTGTCAGAGTGTGGTCTAATAAGGAATCCTCATTGCTATTTGTGTCAAACTACAAATGCCAGAATGTACAGAAGCCTAGTAATAATGCCTGCACCTAGATGTCTGAATTACTTCAATTATGCAGAAGAGGAGCACATAGAAGAAACTTGAAAAAAATTTCTTCCCCTGGCCTTGCTGTATGCCATTGGTAAATTCTCTAGCCATGTCACAATTCCTTACCAAGCTGCTACACTGAATCAGTAGCATTTAGCAATGGGAGTTACAAACTCCCTAGAAAGAGGAGGGTTAAGGGATGTCCCTGGGACATATTTGTGGGTTTATTCTATTGGTTTTAATGTTCTAACTGTGACTTGTAACTAAACTACCTTGAGCCACAGCAAAAAGGCAGGATATAAATGTTTAAATAAATAATAAAGGAGTAGCCATTCGTTACATTTTTTTTTCTAAACAATGCCTAGTAATTTTCCGTTTGTTTGGTTGCCTGGAAGAGACAGGCACAGGGCTGCAGAGTTACATCATGCTGCATGCATTGCTATAGATGCTGATTTTTGTTTAGTGGTTTTTGTCAGTTGTGGATCATGTTGCAATTCTTTAAGTTGTGGGAACAGTCTTTTGTTTAAAAAATTGGGCCATACAGTTTCTTCTGTGAACAGAATGCAGTTTCTATCTTAGCAGGTATTCCAGTTGTATGTATTTTAAACTATGGTGCTAGAGAAGAGTCTTGAGAGTCCCTTGGACTACAAGAAGATCAAATCAGTCAATCCTAAAAGAAATCAACCCTTTCCCTGGAAGGCCAGATAATGAAACTGAAGCTCAAATACTTTGGCCACCAAATGAGAAGGGAGCACTCACTGGAGAAGACCCTGATGGCAAAGGATGAGATGGTTAGACAGTGTCATAGATGCAACGAACATGAAGTTGAGCAAACTTCAGAGGACGGTGGAAGACCGGAAGGCCTGGCGTGATTTGGTCCATGGGGTCGCGAAGAGTCGGACTCGACTGTGCGACTGAGCAACAAAAAATGAGGCTTCTGCTTGAATGCTTTGAATCCTTTTAAAATAGCATGTCAGAATCTTTCCTTCCTGGTTAACTTAGGGAGCTGATAAGAACTTGATGATGTGATGGACTGCACTTTTTAAAAGCTTAGAAGTGCTGTACAAACAGCTGAAAGACTGTGAAGGTTTAATTTTTCACAGAAACAGATTAGCTTGAAATATATGAACTAAAGTCTGTGCATGTACTGATTTTACCTCAGAAATGTCAACCCCTGGCTTCACCAGACTTTCCCCCTCTATGTTAAATAAAATATTTTTTTGTTTTTTAATTTCAAAACTCCTCGAGTGCCATTTAAGTTGTTTAAGTTAAAGGTGGCTCCTGATCCTTCCCTCAGGTTCCTGGGTTAAGCCAACAGCCAAAATATCATACTGTGACAGCGTGGGACAGCCAGAGTTCTTCAGCACTCCCTACACTGTCAAACGGGGAGTTAGCACTGAAGATTGAAGAGATCCCTGGTTTGGTGTGATTAGAAACTGCCCTTAGAGAAGAAGAGATTGGATTTATACCCCGCCCTTCACTACCCAAAGGTGTCTCAGAGCGGCTTACAAACTCCTTTCCCGTCCCACAGAAACAGATTAGCTTGAAATATATGAACTAAAGTCTGTGCATGTACTGATTTTACCTCAGAAATGTCAACCCCTGGCTTCACCAGACTTTCCCCCTCTATGTTAAATAAAATATTTTTTTGTTTTTTAATTTCAAAACTCCTCGAGTGCCATTTAAGTTGTTTAAGTTAAAGGTGGCTCCTGATCCTTCCCTCAGGTTCCTGGGTTAAGCCAACAGCCAAAATATCATACTGTGACAGCGTGGGACAGCCAGAGTTCTTCAGCAAAGAAGAAAACACATTACTAGGGTGGCTCAGTCAGTAAAGGGAAAGAAAAAACAGAGGGAAAATCTTGCTTCTGAGAGAGATAATTTATTTATTTTATTAAATTTATAGCCTGCTCTCCCTGAGCCCGGCTCAGAGTAGGTGACAACAGTTATAAATATACAAATATACAGTTTTAGCCTTCTAAAACATAACTTAAAGTAAAGGTAAAGGTTCCCTTGCTCGAAAGCCAGTCGAATCCGACTCTAGGGTTGCGGTGCTCATCTCCATTTCAAAGCCGAAGAGCCAGCGCTGTCCAAAGACATTTCCGTGGTCATGTGGCCGGCATGACTAAATACCAAGCCACACAGAACGCTGTTACCTTCCCACCGAAGTGGTACCTATTTATCTACTTGCAATTTCTTGCTTTCAAACTGCTAGGTTGGCAGGAGCTGGAACTAGAGACGTCATGCGGCACACTCGGGTCTCGAACTGCTGAACTACCGACCTTCCACAACCTGCAGTTCAGCGTCTTAACCACTTGAGCCACCACAGCTCCAAAAAACTTACACATAATCAAAATACAATAAAATCAATTGAAAAGTTACTAAAAAATTCGCAGTGGTGTGAAAACTCATCTTGGGGCAATCTACAGACATCTAAGAAGGGGAATGGGGGGAAGCAGGGGGAGAAGTGGGGCGGCCAGAAACTGATTATAGCTTTCTGGCTACAGGCCCAGCACTGTCCTCAACCATAGGCCCGGTGGAACAACTCTGCTTTGCAGGCCCTGTGAAATTGTACCAGATCCCGTGGGGCCCTGACCTCTCCTAGAAGAGTGTTTACCAGGCTGGAGCCGGGGCTGAAAAGGCTCTGGCCTAGTCAAGGACAGCTGGACACTCTTTGGAAGCCCAACATAGCAAGTTACAGTAATCTAGCC